CAGGTGTCCTAAGGGCTGGTCTCCCTGATCCCACCTCCAGGCTCAGCTGTGCCCCTCTGCGGACACACAGCCCGCCCCCCAGTCTGCCGCCTCCAACCTCACCTCCACGAGCTCTCTCCAGCCTGCACACATTCTCTCCCTCCCCCGCAGCCACACTTAATCCTCTTTCTCCATCTTCCCAGGTCTTCCTGGTTCCCGCCTCCTCCAGTCAGTCTCTCTCAGCTCGGCCTCCCTCCCCTTTCCACCGGGGTTTAAGCCCCTCCGGACGGGGTAACACTTTTGGAAGGTTTTCCCCCCAGAAAACTTTGCTCATTCGGCCAGTGTCTGCAAAGTCCTTGGCAAAGAGGTTGTTGGGAGTCGTGACTAAAGACGGGGACATGAGAGCGGAAAGATACCCCTTTCCCATGACAATCCTAATTAGCCCACAGGAAGTGGGGGCTTTCCGAGGGGCTTAGATGCCCTGCTCCCACAGCTGTTCCCGGACCTTCTGGGACTCTCGCCGTCATCCCGTGTAGTCCCTCCTCCCCGCACCTGCCTCTCCAGCTCCTCCAGTCAGACTCTTGGGAAGCCCCAGCCAGAACGCCAGAAACAAGCCCCGATCCCCTGCTGAGGACGCTAAGGGGAGACAGACTTGTCCCAAGTCATCAATTAAGCCTAGGCACACCGGGCCAGGCAGAGACACGCCGCTCTGCCCGGCCCCTCCCGCCGAGGCCCAGCCACCCTGACCTCCTCCCTGGAAGCTCTCTTTCTTGCTCTGACATGGGAAGGCCGTTCATCTGGAAAGTGAGACTGTTGGTGGCTGCAGTGGCAACTAGCTTCTCACGCAAAGACGGGAGTGTAGCGCTCTGGGAAGCCAGAGTTCCTCCAAGGCGAGGGTTCCCGGAGGAAGCTTGGGGCCGCTTCTCCCGAGGAATCCGCCTCCTCCCCCGCGGACAAAGGGAGCAGCGGCGTCCCTGCCAGGCATTCCGAAGCCGCGTCCCTCCCCCTCCTCTCTCGGTCGGCTCTGGCCTGTTGCTTCAGCAGTCCCAACCCACAGCATCCGGGGTGCTCCGTGCTCCGGAATCCCCCAACTCCAGCCTCTCCTCCCAGGCAGCCCAGCTCTTTCCACTCGAGACGACAGCTAGAGCCTCCGGGCAATCCCCGCTTCCGTCCTCAGTTCCCACACCCAGGACCCCGCGTGGGGAGGCAGTGAGGTGGGTGATGAGGGGGGCATGTGGCAGGCCCAAGGGTGCCTGGGGCAAAGCAGGGTCAGCCGATGTGTGGGCCATGGGAGCAGGCAGCCTTTACTCTGGGCTAGGATTGCTTGTGGGCGGGGCAGCCCCAGAATTTCCACAGTGGAAGACGCGAGGCCATCAAGCGCTTAAAAGGGGACATATAGCGGGGCTTGGGGGCGGTGTCGTTAGGGTCAAGGGTGTAGCTAGGTTTGCATAACCGTAACACAGATGCTAATCGCGTGGACGTTTATTGCAGGGCTTATCTTAAGAAGATGGTGGGGAGGAAAGCGCCCCCTCCACGACCACCTCTGGGCGACGCCGGGGTGCGGACTGGGTGGGCCCCGGTGGGCTCGCCCGGCGGGAGACCTCGGGGCAGGGAGGGGAGGTGCGCGCAGGTGGGGCAGGGGCGGCCGGCTCACCCGTGTCCTGGCGGAACTGGTTCATGGACTGCAGGTCGATGATGTAGGGCGCGAGCCGGCTGTCCACCTGGCCCAGCACCACGCTGCCCCCGGCGCGGGGGCCGGCGCGGACCACCGCCTCGATGTGGTGGCTCACGGCCGGGCTGTAGGGACGCCAGCGGCCGTGCTCGTTCAGCCATTCCCAGACCACCACGGCCGAGGCCAGGAGCATGGCGAGCCCGGGGCTGCGGCGGCGACCGCGGCGGCGCTGCGCTGTCCCGCTCCCAGGCTCGGCGCG